CTCTTCGATGAATCGCTTGTTGATAAACTTCGTGGTGGCTCCGCTGTCCACCATAGCGATTATGTCTTTATGCCGTCTTTTTCCTTGAAGTCGTACTGAGATGTGAAAATGTTGGGACCCCTGGTCCAATTCGTACACCACTGCAGTAGACAATACATTATACTTGTTACAAGATGATACTCGCGGCCCGACGCGTGCGGCACGAAGCGCGGACCAGATCAAAAACCCTCCTCCTTCATTGCCCGATAGTGCTCGAGCTCCTCGCGCATCGACTTCACCTGTGCCATTAAGTCCGCCAGCTCCGATTGCTCGGATTTCGCTGAAGCGGCACTTATACTTGCCGAGGGTGTTGTCGTGACGGGGGCGCTTGTCGCCGCCTGGGTGGATCCCGAGGCAACCGTAGCCCGCGCGTCGGCGCGTTTTGTGTAAGGCTTGTCCTTACAATTGGGGCACTCGAAGCGTCGGTACCCTTGCTTCCCACAGCCGAAACAGGTGCCGGGGAAGTTGCCTTTTCCGACGGCCGCATTGATGCTGGCCGAAGCTGCGTGCGTCGATGGTGCACCACCACGTGCCCCACCGCGTCCTCGACCTCGGGCCGAGAAGAAGTTATTTAGCTCGGGCCGATGGGCCCGGCTGATGTCGAGGATTTGCTCGACCTCAGTGGCGCGCTTCTCAGCTGCTTGCCACGTGGTGAAGGTTTTGAGCTCGATCTTGCGGTAGACGCGGGAGGGGATGCCGCTCAGGTACCTGTCGCGTAGCTCCAGGTCCCCATACCCGGAACGGTCCGCCGGACCCTTGAACAGCGCGGAGAACTCCGCCGCAGTGCGTCTTTCACGGACCGATTTGTCCGCGCAGAGCTTCGCCAGCTCTACCTGTGCTGCCGCTTCGTCGTCGAGATTTCCGAAGCGGGCCCTGAAGGCGGCGGCAAAGGCCGCTTTGTTCGCGAATGGGGTCGTGGCCCCTTGTACTCCTACTTGCACTGACGCGAGCTGGGCAAAGTAGGGGGTGGCCCAGGCGCGGGCGTCTCCATCGAGCAGGCTAAGTGCGACCTGCACCTTGAGTTCGATGGTGGTCAATGACGTGTTGACCAGCCAGTAGATGCGCAACTGGGACAGGAACCGGTTGCATTCGATGACGGTCTTGCCATCATAGCGGAGCGGGAGGAGGAGTTTCAAGGTCTCCTTGTCGGGGGCGGCTGCAGGAGACGACATTATCGGCGTCGGGGGGGACGGAGGACGCTGCGGGGGCGGAGGCGGCTGTGGTGGCCTTCCGCTGGCCGAACTTCGAGAGGAGCGAGTGCTCGAGCGGCCTCTCGGCGGAGTCGGCGGTGAAGGCGCCGAAGGAAGTTCGGCGGGGGGGTTACGTACGTCAGGGACTGCTGACGCGGGGGCGAGCGCTGTCGGTGAGGTGGACCCAGCAGAATCCTCGGACTCGGACTCCGAGACTCCTTCTTCACCTGCACCCTCCTCAGGCTCTGGCTCTGGCGCAGGGTCTGGAGGGAGATCTCCTTGTATTTGATCGGCGACAGTTTGAGGGAGGCGGGAGGTAGGGGAGACAGGGCGAGAGTGCCTCGAGGCCGATCGAGATGCGAGGGTGCTTCGGGGTCCGAGCGGGTGTTGCGCTCGTCGGATCGCCTTGTAACGAGGGTAATCTTCCTCGATCGATCGGGGTGTCCGATTTGGGCACGGCTGCTGCTCGCAACGGTAGAGGACAGTCTCAGGGCCGTCTGG